TTTGGCTTCATTTTGACTTCCCTGAATTCTGGTATCCTTGACTTTTGGCTTCCCCTCATCGTTGTGTCTGATTCGGTGTCCCTGACCTCGGCAAGTATTTTGACTATTCTTGGATACGTTAAGTCCGTTATCTAAGGTCCTAGGTGTGACACAGTTCTGCGTGCTGGATCAACTTGTACTCCTGACACTCCCTCAGTGATCTCTCCCATAGAGGTCTCTCATCCATGCCCCCATAGTTGTCTCTCTCCCCATTCTCCTCACCCTGTGTAGCGTGGCCGAGCTCCTGTCTGGTCCGCGGTACAGGAGTTTGTTTCCTGTACCCGGCCAGACTGACAGGAAGTGCTCACTCAGTGAGTACTTCAAGTCAGTCCGGCCGGGTACAGGAAACGGCTCGGCCGCGCTGCACTGAGAAACTGGCAGGAGGGAGCACTGTACGCTTCACTCCTGCTGATCCCTCATACCTTGCGCCCCTGGGCTTGTGTGCCCACAATGCTGCAGCCACCTGAGGATCTCTATAAAGAATTCAGGCAGCTGCAGCATGAAGGGGGGCAGCGGTCCTTCCTAAGGGGCACCCTAGGCGAATGCCTAAGTCACCTATAGGAAGTCCATAATTTCCAGGCTTTTCACACTCTCCCCCTCTCCCCGCATTTACAGTACATGAGTAACCCTATTTGATGGGAAATGTTCTGCTATCACAATTGGTTTCTCACACCTTTAATTGGTTAAATATTTAGCTAAGCACTTGCAAAATCTGCTTGGCAGATACCCGTTGCCAACTACTCTATCCTCACCCTTTCCAGGGTTCTCACCCTCTCCACTTTTAAAACTTACTGGGCATAAATCCCCTTCTTAACCACTCCATCCTACACTGTTTCAACTTTTCACGCTTTCCCAACCCATTGGAAACCCTATCAGATAGGCAGTTTTCTGCTATCAGATCTGGTTTCTCTGGCCTTTACATTTAGATAACCACTTGCATGGTTTACTATGCATAAATCCCTAGCCAACTCCTCTCTCCACACTGTTTCTAGGCTTCTCACTCTCTCCCCCCATTTACAGTACATAGATAACTATATGATGGGCAGTTGTGTGCTATCAGATCTGGTTGCTGCAGCCTTTCATGGCTTTTAAACATTTATCTAAGCACTTACAAGAACTACTTGTAGCAGAGCTCTAGTCCTGACAAGGATTTTTTTCTACTTTTCTACTCCTTAGAGAAGGGAATAGCTCTATTCCTCCCCAGTAACTGGGAGTAGCACTGTTTTTTTTTTTGTTTTGTTTTTTATGTAAAACTGTGTATTCTATTTATAACATTTTGCAACTGTATACTGTTACAATATATAAACATTTTTGCTTAATATAATTATAATGAAAATGAATGTACTATCTTGGCTTTCTGTATGTAAGACAGGCTGTAGCCACGAGATACCTTTGTACTTACTAACAGTTTCAGTATTTTCTCTATTTAGTAATAAATTTAGTTTCAGAATGTATATACAGCCACAAGTAACTTCTTTCCTATCATGTTTTTCCTACACAGCTTTGAACATCATTGCCAAGCTCATTCAGTGAATTCTCTTTATTAAAATGTATGTATAATGAACTGAGTATTAATAGAACTAATTGTTAAATTATTTGGAATATAGGAATCAAGGTCATGCAAACACTCAATCACATAACTGCAGATGTATCGGAGGTGGAGGAAACACTGTATGACGCTAATCTTCGAATGATACATTGAACCAACTAGTTGGGAGATCCTCCACTTTCTGGCCTTATATCTTTTTTTCCAATATATTTTTTTATTGGGTTTTTGTTTCATTGTTTACAAAGATTGAACAGTGGGTAATACGTAGTATCACAAGAATACAAAAAGTTGTGGATACAAGGTAACAATAGGTATAACATATAGCACGGTAACAAGTAATCAAGGCACATGTACAAGGGTTCCCGTACGGCTCCTAGTTTCATGGGGGAGTCTACACAGTTGCGGTGGTGCTTTATGCGCTCGTGTATCGAGCGTCTTATACAACAGTTATATGCTTATCGTGGGTTTCTAATCAGAGGATTGTCACGGGTTGGAGGTGTCTATCCGTTCGTCACACAGCTCTTATGGTTTGTTGTCATATAACGCTACCCAGGGGGCCCAGGTCGTGTGAAATCTTTGTGTTGTTTTTGCGTCAGGAGCGGTCATGCGTTCATACGTGTAGTATTGCTGTATTTTATCCCATAATGTGGCTTTGGTAGGACAAAGTGTGGATTTCCAGTTGCAAGCTATCAAATTACGAGCTGCCAAGATGGTAATTGCACTCAGTTGTTTGTGTGCATATTTAAATGATGGGGGGTAACGCATAAGTAGGAATAGTTCGGGGTGATGTCCTCTGTGAGGGACATTAATGGCATTTAGAGTGTTTTGTACTTCTACCCAGAGGGGTTGTATGTTGGGGCATGACCACCATATGTGCGTATGTGTACCTATCTCCGCCGAGCATCTCCAGCAGAGAGGAGACGTATTGGGGTAAATTTTATGGAGTGTGTAGGGAGTTAAATGCCATCTGTACAGTAATTTCCTATGTGCTTCTATATGGGTGTAGCACTTAGTCCATTTAGATATGGCGTTCAATGCATGAATCCATTCGTCATCTGTGAGTTGGATAGTGCATTCTGTTTCCCACATTGCTTTGCAATGTGGTGCTGCGTTGGGCAAGGTATTGTCCCATGTCTTATAACAGAGGGAAATACTGTTCTTCTTCATAGGGCTTTTCCAGCATCTTTCTATTACTGCCTTTGATGGAAGGGGGCCCTGTTCAGGGGATTGTTGTTGTTTGTTTACATGTGTGTTGATGATCCCTTTCAGTTGTAAGTATGTGAAAATAGCGTTTGATGGCAATTCCCATTTCGTTTGTATGTCTGTGAAGGGTAATATTTCTTGCGATCGCATTATCTGGTGAGTATGTTTAATGCCTGCATGTACCCAAGTCTGTAGACGCATGTCTGGTGATATGGCTCTTAAGGCGGTTAGAGGGGCGTTGGGGTGGAATTTTTCTTTGGCCCCTACTGTGTCTAGGAATTTAGACCAAATGTGGACGGTCAGTGTTGTGGTGGGGTATAGGTTTGGTTTGGCTGGTCTATGTTTTTTCGGTGTCCATAGGTAGTCTAGCATTGCGTTCTTATCCAACTGGGCTTTTTCCATGTCTACCCATTGGATGATACCTTGATTTGAGTGCAATAGTATGCCCGATGCCAGCATCGTGGCTTTGTAGTACTGGTTTAGGTTGGGTAGCCCCACTCCTCCTTTTGTAGGATGTTTGTAGAGTAAAGCGCGGGATATGCGCGGTTTCTTGTTCCCCCATATGAATGAGCTGCAGATGTTTTGTAGGGAGTTGAAGAGTGTTTGTGGGGCTTGGATGGGAAGCATTCTAAATATGTAGAGAAGTTTGGGCAGTAACATCATCTTGTATGCGTTAATTTTTCCTAGCCAGGAGATATGCGTCTGAGACCATTTTTGTAGGTCTCTTTTGCACTGTTGGGGAAGCGTAAGGTAATTTAGTTTCAGGATTTCTGCTATCGTTGGTGCTATTTTTATGCCTAGGTATGTTAGCGATGTCTTTCTCCAGTCAAAGGGGTAGTTATCTTTCAGTATTGTTTTGGTGGTTAGTGTGAGTCCGACGGGAAGGGCCTGGGTTTTATCTTGATTCAGGCGGTAATGGGATATGTCGCCGAATGTTTTCAGGGTTTCCATGAGGGGAGGCAAAGATCGCTGGGGGTCCCCTAGCGTTATCAGGATATCGTCGGCGAACAGCGCCAATTTATATTCCTGTTCTTGAATTGTGATTCCTTTTATGCAAGGATCTGTGCGAATTTTTTGGGCCAATGGTTCGAGCGATAGGCTGTATAGGAGGGGGGACAGGGGGCAGCCCTGGCGTGTTCCATTGGTGATCGTGAATTGGTTAGATAGGAAGCCACCGTGTGCTACTTTAGCTGCTGGTGATGCGTAGAGTGCCATGATTCCTTTGATGAATTCAGCTGGGAATCCATATTTGGAGAGCACTTGTTGCATATATGTCCAGTTGAGTCGGTCGAAGGCCTTCTCCGCATCTAGTGCTAGGAGGAGGCCCCCGACCGACCCCCTACCCATTGAGGTTAATATGTTGAGGGTTTTCCGGGTGTTGTCTGATCCCTGTCTCCCCCCACAAACCCAGATTGATCATTGTGTATCAGTTGTGCAATTATCTGGGCTAGTCTGTTGCTTAATATCTTTGCATATAGCTTAGCGTCACTGTTTAGTAGAGATATTGGCCTAAAGTTTTTGCATATATTCGGGGGTTTCCCTGGCTTGGGTAGTGTGGAAATATGGGCTAGCAGCATTTCCGAGGGTAGCGTTCCCGTGTCATTACAGTGTTGGTATACGTTTAAGAGGTGTGGTGTAATGTGTTGGGAGAATATTTTATAATATCTGTTCGGAAGACCATCTGGTCCTGGTGCTTTGTTGACCGGTAGGTCTGTTATGGCTTTAGCTAATTCTTCGGCGGATATCGGTTGTTTGAGTTTGTGGATGTCGTCTTGTGTGAGTGAAGGTAAAGTAATGTTTGCCAGAAAGGCGTCAATGGTAGTCACGGAGGGTATTTGCACTGTTTCGTCCTCTTTTAGATTATACAGTTTGTGATAATAGTTGGCAAATTCGTTTACAATTTGTTTCGGATCTAGAATTTTTGAACCATTGTTGTTAATAAGGGAGGCAATCCTGGAGGCGACCGATTTTTGTTTGAGTTGAGCAGCCAGTTTTGCTCCGGCGTTGTTACCATAAGTAAAGTATTTGTGTTTGGATTTTTGTAATAAGTAAGTGGTTTTGGCCAATTCATAGTCTCTTAGTTGTGATTGGGCTTTCAGTAAGGCTGCTTGTGTAGCAGGTGTTTGAGATTGCTTATTTTTATGTGTAAGTGCTGTTATCCTTTCTATTAATTGTATATATTGGGCTTGGCGTGTTTTTTTTGCTTGACTCGCGTGCTTAATGAAGCTGCCCCTGATCACAGCCTTATGGGCTAGCCATAAGTATTCTGGCGTGGTACCTGATCTTGTGTTTTCCGTAAAATAGTTTTGTAGATCTGTGGTAATCTGTGAGATTATTGCTGGGTCGTTAAGCAGAGATTCATTGAGTCTCCAGGTTGATCTGCCGGTGGACGAGAATTGCTCAATTAGAGTTATGGTGATGGGGGCGTGGTCCGACCAGGAGATAATCCCAATATCAGTGTTTATTAGTCTCGATAGAGATGTGGCCTTAATGAGGAATCTATCGATTCTAGAATAGCTGTTGTGTGCAGCTGTATAGCAGGTATAATCTATGTCTGCCGGGTGTGATATTCTCCATGGGTCTATAAAGTTGTGTGTCGTTAGTGTGTGACATATTTGGGATGTTTGTTTGCGGTGTTGTGTTAGTGTTTTGGAGGTTACCCTTTTGGAGGAGGATGAGTCCATATTTGCATCCAGGAGAAAGTTAGTGTCGCCTCCAAGAATTGCCTCCCCAAAGCTGTACCTTGACAAGAGACAAAACATATCATCTATGAATACAGGTTGACTTTCATTTGGGCTATATACATTCATCAAAGTATACGGTTGGTTGTTGAGGCGGCATTGTAATATCAGATATCTGCCCTTTTTATCACTGATTTTGCGAATAAATTCAAAGACAACTGATCTATGAATTAGGATCGAGACTCCTCTTTTTTTTTTATGGTAACAAGTGTGGTAATCTACAGGGAACCATGGGGAGTTAAATCTGGGCGTAGATCCCCATTTAAAATGGGTTTCCTGAAAGAAGGCCACTTGTGCCCCCTGTCTCTTGGCTTCTTGGAGGGCTAGTCTGCGTTTGTTGGGTGTATTGAGACCCTTGACATTAAGAGAGAAGAATTTAAGTGGCATATTGCTTGGTTGTATGATGGTATACAGGTAGACACTTGTGTACTTACTCCAGTAAAGGGATTTTTTATTTATTTATTTATTTTTTTTTTTTGTTCCCTCTTTTTTTGGCGTTAGGGTTTGTTACCGAGACTATGGTACAGGTCCTTAGGTACAGGGATAGGGGTTGGGGTTAAACTATGTACACTTGCCCGTTAGCCTCGAGGGCCTGATGCAACAGTGTGCGGACGGGAATTTAATGGCTCACTAGTGGGCCGTCGTTGGGGGTCAGTGGAAGTTTGGTAGGAACTAAGTTAGTATTTCCAAAGTGGAATATGTGATTAGATTTGCAGTCTTAACCTTAAATTCTAAACAATATCAATTATAACAATCGAAGAATGAGCAGCATGGACTTTCCGCCAGCCGTGGGCCTATGCGGGGTGGCCACTTGTGCGGTATCAAAATATGTTTTGTTTTTTTTTTTGTTTAAATTGCATATTTTAAATCAGTCATGTAATCAGACAACATCATTAGCACGAGTTGTCAGTAATATAACATTTTTAAGTGCAAGAAGTTACGTGTCCCGGAGCGTGGAGGAGCGATGGTCACGGTCAGTAGTTTCTGCGGCCTTGAGGGGTGTTGGTGATCCATGGAAGTTGTTGCCAGTCTCTTGCCATTTTTCGTGGCGGTGGTGCGTCGGCCTTTTGTGTTCCATTCTGTGGAGCAGGGATGGGGATGTTCCAGTCTTCCAGAATCTGTATTCCGTCTTCAGGCGTGAGGATTGTGCGGTCTGCTCCATTTCGTTTGACGAGTAGTTTAGTAGGGAAGCCCCATTTGTATAGGATATTGGCGTTTCTGAGGGCTGTGGTAATCGGTGTAAAGGAGCGACGTTTGGTCATCGTGGCTGCTGACAGATCAATAAATAGTTTGATATCTGTGTATTCTTCTGGTAGAGATGGATTGAGTCTTGACGTTTGCATTATTTGGTCTTTGACCGTAAAATAGTGGAGTCTGGTTATGACGTCCCTTGGTACAGTGATGGGTAGGTGCCGTGGTTTGGGCAGCCTATGGGTCCTGTCCAGGCGGAGGTCTGCCTCTGTCATGGATGGGACCAGAGATTTGAACAATTTTTGTACATAGTGTGTAAGGTCCTGTGGGTTGACGTTCTCAGGTATACCACGGATCCTTATGTTATTTCGCCTGTCCCTATCTTCATTATCTGCTATTTTTCCTTCCAGATATTTAACTTTGTTTTCCAGGGCTGTGTGTGCATCTGCTAGCTCATTATGAGCAGTTAGTATGCCCTCCGTTTTTTCTTCTAGATGGGCTGTTCTGTCCCCTATTGCCTGTATGTCAGCTTTAATGTCTGCAGCTGGAGGTCTGAAAACAGGGCTGATTTTAATTTATCCAGCATGGTACTCACTGAGGCATTTGTGGTAGGGATGGATGCTTCACTGCTTTGGTAGTGCTGTGAGTCTTCTCCGTCTGCCTCGTGTGTTGGTGAGCCATGCGGTCCGACGCCATCTTGGTCTCCTGAGTGCTCCGTCTGTTGCGAGCTCAGGTGTGAGTCGATCGTTTTTTGTTTTAATTTTTTCGACGATTTGGTCGCCATTGTGCTCGGGGAGAGGTTGGTGGTAAGATGGGCTGAATTTGGTGGCAATTTCGCTGCGATACACGCTGTGGGGCCCACTATCTCGGCGGAGCTCTCCTTCTATGCGACTGCTTCCATGCGGTCCGTGGCCACGCCCCCAGTAGCACTGTTTTTTATTGTGCCAAGCTTGGCCTTTTATGCACAGACCCCAGCATGGGGTCTCCATACAAAATAGCACAAACCCCTCAAAGGCGTCCCGGTGTCTGGGAGACAATTAAGTCAAAGACTGGTAACTCAATTATCTCTCAGTTACAGGGAACCATACACAAAATATACAAAAAACACCCAAATAGCCCGGATCTGAGCGCCCAGGTTGTCCAAATAGCCCTCAGATCCATTCGGTGTAAAGCAATCGCCATCAGGGAAAAGTTTTGACTGGCAGGCCACAAGGTTGTAGCCCAAAATAGTTCCAGGAAGAGAGAGGCAGCGGCCCGTTAACTTTCCTGTGCAAACAAATTCTCCCCCTGGCTCTTAAGTTGCGAATGCTCCCCTCAGTCCAAAGTGTCTTTTCCCCCAAGAGCACTCCCCTGGCTTGTCTGTGAGAAGAGCAGGTAGTGGTACGGTTTTCCCAGAGATCATGAGTTAGAGTATCCATAATTAGTTCCAGGCGTTCAATGACCAGGTACCGCTGCCTGCGTTCGGGAGACAAAATGGCATTCATTCCATAAAGTGCGTGCATTCGGTCATACGAATGGCGGCTACCCAGAGAGAACACTTGAGTTAATGGGTTAATTTGACGTTAACAAGCCAGGGGGTGATTGGGGTTGGGTAGATATAAAAAGGGTAAACGAGTGTATGTTCGGGAAACGAACAAGGGGTGTACGGACAACCAAACGGAGAGAGGGCCAACACTACTGGGCATTTCAGATCTGTTTTTTTACGACCAGTATATAATACTCCCCCCATTTATAATACATAGGCAGTTTTCTTCTGCTTTTAAAACCGATGTCTCTAGCCTTTCGTGGGTTAAACATTTAGCTAAGGGGGGGCGTGGCCTAAATCCAGAGCTCCTCGCCACCACGCTGCTAGTAGCCACTTACCACACGCATACCGACCCTGATGGGGCGCACAAAGCGGGCGGAGCACCTGCAGACCCCCAGGGCTGCACCCCAGAAACCCTCCTCGGGTCCGATGGATGGATTCCTTCAAACCCCGCTGGGGCCTAGCCGTCAGGCGCATGGATCCAAAATGGCACCCGTTTCCCCGGCCTCCTCCA